AATAGCAATAGTCTACAAAGTTTGGGGCAGCCAATAATAAAATAGGCCCAATGCACGTGATATTGTCTATCTTCGCAATGCTCGTCCATTTCTCAATGATCTTCGTTAATACTCGAAATTTCCATGGTGTTACGTATTTATATTATATGTCAGTTCGTGAATTACGTCTACGATATTAGTGCTATCAAGAGAAAAACCTGTCATCGGGCTTTCAATTTATCTTGTACCGGACAAAATCAATAATAAATTGGGTCTAATACAATTGAATGCTCGATGACAGGTTTTCCCTTGACAGCACTCATATAAGCAGAAAAGCGGAAAGTAAAAACTAAGACACTCATATAATAAACTTTTAAATTGCATAAACTACAAGATTAAAAAAATATATAAAGAAAAAAAAATTTTTTTTTAATATCTTTATCTAACATGACTTCAAATAATTCACGAGTTTATCCATTTATTTCGCCTCAACCTTTGAAAAAATAGTTAATGGCTATATGAGTGATCTTAAAAATGAATAGTATATAATGAATCGCTCAAAGTAAATCGTTGTACACAAATTTGTCCTATTGAAGACTTTTATATTGTGATCTGTCAAGCTCATCAGAATACCGAGCATGGCGGTTAGAAAAAAACATGGTTAAAAGTATTTTATTTAATAATTTAAAAAAATTTTTTTTGCTAAATAATATATAATTTATATAACATATAGTTTCGGCAAAGATACTGTTTTACTCTTCAAACAATTGTTGAAAATGCAGTGAAACAATGCAATATATTTCTGTATATATTACACGAAGTGCAAAAAACGGGTACCCGCGATAAGACCTATAATTGCAAAAATGTTTCTTGCTTATGTTTAAGTAAGAATTTATATAGTTGTATATATAATTTGTTAATTATAAATATTATCATTATACTGTATATTTTAAAGGTGGATATGACAAGTATGACGGCGGCTCCAGATGGTGAATTTAATTATATTATCCATATCCGCGATCATTTTACAAGATTCTCTGCTGCTGAACCTGCAAAAACAAAATCTGCCGTAGAAGCTTTTACGGTTTCGTTTGATGTATTAACCACCAGAAATCTTACATTCAGATAATAGAGGCGAATTCGTTGGTGAAATTATAAAAAACACAAACTTTGGCCAACCGATAATATGAACTTAGAATTACTGGTGGTTTATTGTCGCCATAGATAGAATTCAATTATTGTAATTAAAAAAATGATTGTCAACCATGCAGTGCTGGAATAAAATATTTGAATAAAAAATATTGTGCGTTGTGCTGCTTATTTTTTACAATTTTTTTTTTTTAATGATACTGTATTTTTTTATTCGGTATCATGATAGTTGATCATTACATAACATACGTCAAATTATGATTCCAAAGTGACTTATGCCAATTCGAGATTAACTACTGATTAAACGGATGATCGGATACGTAATCAAAGTCTATCCGAGCAATGAATAAACATTCGGATAGTTAGGATTTTAAGGCTACCTATAATGCAGAACAATTAGACAGTTTGTCTCAGATAGAATAGAATAATAAATAGGCAATTTCTTTAACATTGAGAGAGCACTTGTACATTCAGCAGAAAAATGATCAAAAAAACATTGAGCGGTCGTATAATTAAGAATTTACTCTTTAGAATTTTTATTTATTCTTTGTTTTTCAGTTTTATATATTCATTTTTCAACTTTGTATTTCCATTAATTCATTTTCTACATTAATCTTTTTATTGTTTCCATCAACTTTAGTTAGTACAATTACTTTCCTATAATAAACCTTCACACATTTTTTCGTTGATCGTTTTATAATTTTGAATCCTACCTTATCCATGGATAGCATCGTATAATAAGCAATAGACAACATCTGTTAATCACGCATTTTGCGAACTATGTCTTTAGAGAAAATATTTCTTCGTTCATTTAATTAAATTATTATGCCTCTTTTTTTTCTTTTTTCCCTTTTTTTTTTTTTTTGGTCTAATATAAAATAATATAAAATTATATTTTTTTTATCAACCCAATTTTTTCCCGTCTAAATTTGCCAGTTGATTTTTCAACTTGGAGATTTCATCATCTTTTTTATCTAAACTGTTTAATAAATGTTTAATACGAAAGTTTAATTTCAAATTTTCTATTTTTAATAATTCTATTTCTTTGTTTGAAGAGGGTAGATCAGATTTAAGTATTGGTGAGGTAGAAGCATCCAAACCTTCATTTATATGTGTAATGTATTAGAAAAAAAAGCACAATAAAAAAAATAATAATAATAATAAAAAAGACAGCTACCCAAAATTATTTCATTTAATTCCTTGATTTGTTCTTGTAAGCCTTTTATGGTGATTTCAATCGGAGTTGATTGAGACATTATAGTTATGCTATTTTACGAAAAGAATTGAAAATGAAATGATATCGATATTTTTCATTTATTTTTATCTCATTGGTTGGATTAAATGTGACTGTATCGGGTTTTCACATGACAACGCTAGAGCTAGTAAAAGCCACAATCCCAATCCCTCGCGTTTCGATAAACCATATTACTTATCATGGATCAGAAATTTGTTTCCTCAACAGAGATAGAAGAGGCCAGAAAAAAGCGGGCAGAAGAATGGAAAGCAGCTTATGAAAGACTGGGAGAAAGTATATTTTATAATGAATAGTCGATGTAGGGGAATATGAATTTTATCATTCACCACTTTTACTATCGTAGAGCCGCCAGTAATAGAAGAAGAGTATGATCCTCGTACATTATACGAGAAATTACAGGAACAAAAAATGAAGAAAGAGGAAGCTTTTCAGGAAATGACGAGATTCAGTACGTTATTGATAAAAGATTTTACAAAGTTTTATCATAAAATTAATTAGAAAATTGAATCCTGAATGAACCCTTTCAGGCAATCTGATACATAGACTTGATGAGGATGAAATAGATTTTTTGGCAACATTAGAACATGAACAACGCGGTAAAGAAATGGAAAAAATGAAAAAAGTTGAGCAAGAACTTGAAGAATTTAGACGGTCAGTGTTTGATCCGTTTTTAAATATCAGTCTGATTTTAATATCTTATTAAAATTTGTATTTATCAGAGCTGCTGCCAAGGCCGATGAAGAGGCGGCACCAAAACTTATAATTCAACCTGAAACTATCTCAGCACCAATAAAAACTTCCATAAAGAAAGATGCACAACGGATGATTTTAGAGAGTGCTATTAAAAAAATCAACGTTCCTTCACGTAAGAGATCATTAAATGATGATGAAACTCATTCATCTAACTCTATTGAACAATCAAAAGATCAGAAACGTTCAAAATTAGAATCACATTCAAGCAGAGAGACAACAACATTAACAACCACAACTAATAACATTACTAACAATACTCTAGCATCTTTACTAGCATATAGTGACAATAGTAGTAGTGAAGAGAGCACTAGTGACGATGAATCATAACAATGGATAATTATTTGAAGGTGAATCAAGTTTTTTTTGAATCCTTGACTACAACTCAAAATTATCTCTTAAATCAATTTATCATTATTTTTTAATTGATTGTAAATTTCATATTTTAGTAATAATATTTAAAAGTGTATGAAAATAATTGTTTGCACAATACGTATTCTATATATTAAATTCCAACGTTTAGTCTGTATACTATGAAGTTGTTATTAAAAGAATACGTATTTATCTTAGCAATTTTTAATTTTTAAAATCCATTAATTTCAAATAAAATTTAGATAATGTTTGGTGAGACAAGACATTTTACACTTATGCCGTAGCGATAGCTTGATCTTAATTATGTTATCATTATTACAATGCACTTTAAGTCTTTAAAGTACCCCTATGTAAGGGTACCCAGAAGTTTTTATTACATATAAAAATGATTGGTACAAAATGCATAGTAATTCCCTTGACCTGTGTGGAATATAAAATACCCGAGCACTTCAAAGGGCATATTATGGTAACTTTATTTAAAAAAATTATTTAATAGATGTTATGTATTTTGATATCACAGCTCTCTAACTAATTATTCCCGTTAAATTCGATTACAATTATTTTTAGGGAATTCTATTTTTACGTGGGTTAAAGTCACCGATAAACTATAATGTCATTTACGTAACTAGTTTTAGTAATATTTTGGTGACTTTAATAATATTAGCAAATTAAGATAAAATAATTGCAAGCCTTTTGGTATAGCTTGCATAACTACTCTGGTTTAGCCTTTTGATCTCAAAATTAATTTTAGATTAGTATAGCTGGTTATTTACAAAGTAGTTAGAGAATGTTAAACCTAAAAATTAAGCTCAAATTTGTATAAATTATATATAATAATATTAAAAGAAGAGTATATTTATTTATCGCCCCAATGCGATGTATTTTATATGTCGCTCTTATATGATCAACCAATCGAATCTCAAGATCAGGTGTAACGTTACACGTTTGGGAAAATTCAAAACAAATGAACATTTTGCCAGCATGACGGAAGTTCGATTTTATGCACTGTGGTTACACAAACATTTATATATTGAAATCATATGATAGGAGACACATCATATGA